ATTAACAAAAGACTTAACTCCGTTTCGTTGACAATCAGCCGTAGACGAGAGTCTTCATCAGGGGCGTACGCAGGATTTTTTTCAAGGGGGGGGGGGGGGGTTTAAAATCTGGCCCAAAATATTTTGCTCCCGAAAAGTCGCTCAGTGGGGGGGGGGGGGTCACTTTACGTTAGCCGTGGGCATAATTATTATTATTTTTTTTTTTTTTTAGTTAAAAAAACAAAACAAAAAAAATACCAAAGGGGGGGGGGGGGGTTTGAACCCCCAAACCACCCCCTTGCGTACGCCCCTGGTCTTCATGCATGGCTGATTGTCAACGAAACGAAGTTAAGTCTTTTGTCAAATCTGCTTTTTGCTACGGCAGGCACCCAGTGAAAACGAATTCGTTTGTTAAAATTATGAAAATGTAAGAGCTACTTTAAACAAATAGAACTTTGTTATTCCTCGCTCATTTTTCCTGATTGAGGTGTCATATGAAAGGGCAGAAACTCAACTTTTTAGAACTGTGAATTTTTCTTCGAAATTCAGATACCGCCCGCCAAATGTCTTTTTGGTTTCCTTCCTTCAAATTGCTTTTAATCACTCATGCGTGAAATATGCATCGTCTGAGTAGCATCAAATAAAAGAGGAGACTCTAAGCTTTCCAAATATGTATCATTCATTAATTATGGTTGTGATTAAGTTATGATAAAACATAGATACTTCTCGGTTTCGTTTTTTCTGGGACGCACTGTATATATATATATATATATATGTATATATATATATATAGGCCTATCTCTCTAATTTAGTTTCCTAATTTAATTCTTTACTTTTAACCAGTTCTTGACATATTGCAGCTTGAAGGAGGAGGGTTTTCTTATTTTTTGTTGAGTACCACTGTATTATACACACTTGAAATGTTAGCATATTGTGTTTGAAAGTTGTAGTGAACCGGTTCATTCATGTAAATTCCGTTTATTGCCTTTAAAGATTCACGGAAGCCTGAACACTAAACTAGTGACATATTATTGTCCCCTTTTCTAATGACGAATGAGGAACTCAAATAGGACATCCTGATAAATTGGTGGTTTAGACATTAATACAAAAAAAAAGGCACTGGTATTTTTATGCATGATATGTTAACTCTAAAGCATTTTGAATACATACACATATACAGTGTCATTCATAGAACATCTGGAGTTAAAAACGAGTCATTAAGTAGGCATGGTCATTAGCAGGACAGTTCCGAGTCCTGTTAACGATTGTACAAAGAACTGCGCACTCTACTTACGTTTTTAGGCAGAGGAAACAACAACAAAAAAACTCCCAAGAAACAAAAGGTTCAATCATTAGTCATTAGTTATATTGTTTTGAAATCAGGGTTAGGGTTAGGGTAATATACCAGTTGTTATGATGTCCAATTAATGTAATATTTCGGGTTATATATCTATATATACATATATGTATACATATATGTATATTTATACATATAATGATTTAAACAGTTGAAATGAAAATTCTTGATAGCTAACTTATTCACTGTGACAAGTTTCAATTTTATTTCTTTAGATAGGGAATTTAGAATTACAAGTGCAAGAAAGAAAGAAAGTATTGCGCTAAAAATGGATCGTTGCATGGCAACAGAATAGTCATATTATGTTTTTTTTTAAAATAAATATTATATATTGTTACATCATAGTCAAAATTATTTCATGGCAATTTCTTTCTTCATTTGTACATCATTATACACTGTTGGTCATAAAGGTGAAATAATGATTTTTACCCCTATTTATGGAATGATTTTGACCATGATTTATAATAGATCTAGCTAATAGTATACATTCTCAGATTTTATTGAATAATAGTTTGTGAGTGTTTGTTTTGCGTGACTGCTAAAGCATGTGCATGATACTATGTCAATCAACAAGGGACCCTACGTCATTAAGTCATAACCGACAGTAATGATGATTAATGCCTCAAAAAAGGGCACTAATACAGCACCTCGACACGGTTTTGATTATGGGGCCTCATAATAATGAGGCCATTGCTTAGCCAATGAATCATGACTGTACGCAGCGGGGGCTAGGGTACGTCGACGCCCCCACAAATACAAAAAAAAAAAACGAAAATGCAATAAATTATCAATATTTCATTGCATTTTCCCCCGGTCCCCAACAGGAAAAATGCCTCTGTAGGGCCATGCATTATGGTTCAAGGCATACCCACATAGGCACATTATTTTATACTGTCAAATACCTCATTTTGAAAAGTCACGATGTTTCGCACACTCGTTTACACTTGTGCGGAAACATCACCGACTGAAAAAGCTCAGTGATGTTTTAGCGTGTTTTAGTTGGTAATGCGTATGCGCGGCACTCCGATGCAAAAACTTCCCTCTTTCTGTCTTTCCTTATGTTATTCTTTGTTTTTCCTTGTATCACCTTCTCTCATGTTATTCTTTATCACTTCCTTCTATCACTAGGTATAGCGAACCAAAAATAAGTACAACAAACACATGTTATTTGATGATTGCAAATGATCAAGCTTCATGAAAGCTTCAAAAAACAACAAACAGAATTGAAATCGGTCAATACGTTGTGATTTTATACCATTTTTATGATATCGCAAAATTACCGAAAAACCTGCCAGAAATGGTCAAATTGGCAAAAACGGCAAAATTCGATAAAGTTGACAACTTAATTCATCACTTTCTTGGACACAAATAATAAATTAAATTATCAGACATCAAAATATCATTTTTGTGGTAAAAAAAATACAAAAAAGAAAATTCATATATCTATTACCGTTTGGAAAACAGAAGCAAACAAAATAAGTCATTTTGGCCATTTTTGCGAATCTGCAGATATGAAAAAGTTGTGAATATAACTAAGTCCGCCTAATTAATATGCGCATATGTAATCAAATCAAAACCGAACATGATACATCGATGAAACCTATGTCTATCAGACAGGTATGGAAATATTTTTTTTTTGAAGAAAAAAACAATTATGAATTTTTATCAAATATGCAAATTAGGTCATTTCAGCTAATTATATTTGGGAAAGTCAAACTGTTCATTTTGTTGGCATTTTTAAAATCATATACATATATATAGATCATATTTACACCAAACAATGCCAATAAACTATGGCGACGGAAGTTACTTGGATCACCGTTACAGCTATTTTCTCATATGTTTCACAAATTATTCAGAAAAACCGATCAAATGATAAGAATTTGCAGACTTTCAGCTACATCACAGTATAGTTTTTTTTTTAATAAAAATGTCAGATTTGAGGATTTATGACGATTTTCCGAGAAACCATTCAACAAGCCATTAAATTCCACAAAGACTGATATGTAAAGTAACACAAACTTTGGTGATCCCAGTACAATTGTGGCTACCTTAAGTGTAAACGACAAATTTATTTAATGAGTGAAACATATGAGGATACTGCATTTTTGTAGGGGAGTTTTATACATTGACTCAATGCACCTCAGAGGTGCATTTTACCACGCAGAATAGCAGTCAATGGGCGATCAGCGGGCCATGTCACACATGGCTGAAAAGACAATATTCTGATTAACAATTTAACATATTTTCCACATGCCTATAACAATGAAACTACACAGAATTGTAGTAAAAGGTGTGCTTGAAAGATATGTGAAATAAAAATTTAAAAATATTGTTCACTTTAAAAAAAAAAAAATTTACGAAAATTGCTATTTCTACCAACTGTCTGCTGTTGTGTGTGTGTGCATGGGGCAGACTGTGTGAACATGCAGTGTGATCACCCTACTATCACCTTCTCTTTCTGTCTTTCCTTATGTTATTCTTTCTTTCTTCTTTCTATCATTTTCTCTTTCTGTGTTTTCTTATGTTATTCTTTGTTTCTTCCTTCTATCACCTTCTCTTATGTTATTCTTTGTTTCTTCCTTCTATCACCTTCTCTTATGTTATTCTTTGTTTTTTTATCATTCTATCACTTTCTCTATCTGTGTTTCCTTATGTTATTCTTTGTTTCTTTCCTCTATCACCTTCTATTATGTTATTCTTTGTTTTTTATCATTCTATCACTTCCTCTTTTTGTGTTTCATCATGTTATTCTTTGTTTCTTCCTTTTATCACCTTCTCTCATGTTATTTTTTTTTTTTTTTTATCATTCTATGACTTCCTCTTTCTGTGTTTCCTAATGTTAGTCTTTGTTTCTTCCTTCTTCCTTAAAAGATCACACTTCGTTTTGGAATGTTTCGGTCTTGGCATTTCTGCCAGTAAAGCGTAGTTGCCCTTGGTAACATTGCGGTCAGGTTCCGGTTTGGCATTTTTTGGCTTATGTTGGGAGTCGGGGAAAAATGCAATGAATAATTAATCATGGTAAAAAAAGGTGTAGACCGGGGAAGGGGGATTGGAGTACTGATGGGGGGGGGGGGGGCTTGGTTGGTTGGGGGGGGGGGGGTGACAGATGCCCCCATATATAATTCAAACGAGGTTTATTTCTAATTCGAAACACATGTTGTTGAAATGATTTTTCCTCAATGTTAAGTATAATTATACTTTTTCAAGCGTTTGTTGGAAAATGGCAAATTCATAAAGAAAGAACGAAAAAATTGTGACCTGTCTTTGTCACAAAATAGTAAGGTGTCAAAATGTGCTCATCTGACCTTGATTAAATGCCTAAAACCCCTGAGCAGAGCCCCCGGATTCCACCAAGGGCCCTAAGGGCACCTGGATGCTCATCTGACGGTAATTTAATGCCTAAAACCCCTGAGCTCCTGGGGGTTCCGCCCCTGGACCCCACACCAATTTTTGTTCTGTCAGTGTCACAAATAAGGTATTAAAAAAGGGAGGGCAGCAATGAGGAACTTTGATTTAAGCCACGCAGCCCTTATTCTCTTATTTCCTTTTGCATCATATATTCCCCTTTTTTAAGGAAATGCGTGTACGTATAAGTGTGACTAAATCCTCTTATTCATATCGGCGTGCGTGTGTGTACCACCTTGACTTATTCCACTGTGACACCACCCATTGCCTAAAAACTAGTGGCTGTGTCATTACATTCTCTCATTGTCAACATCATCACTATCAGTTTGGTACAGAGGAAAAAGAAGATGGATCGTGAACGATTTATTTCGTGGCCCTGTGTTCTTATATTTTTACTTCCGTTTTGTCAAATAGGTGAGTAACTAATCATTTCTTCTATGAACTTTGATTGAGGTTGACTGAAAGTATGTATAAATTGGTTGATCAGAGGAACACAACCTAGATTAATGGACCAAAAGTGGTCGCCAATATAGCATCAGCTACTCATTTTTCAACCGATCAAGTCAATTTGACGAGAATCTAGGCTCTCGTCTTTTTATCTTCTCGACTCCTTGTCTTCTTCAGGCACGTAGCCAAGGGGGGGGGGGGGGCACGAGGGGGGGGGGGGAGACCCCCTCCTTTTTTTTTACCTCGATCGATTACATGTATGTGCTCCCCCCCAAACATCAAACTCTGGCTACGTGCCTGGTCTTCTTGACTTGATTTATTGTCTTCTCGTCTCGTCTTCTGGTATTCTCGTCGTGGTTTACCTTGTCCTATTCGATTTTCCTACGATCTGATTTTTGAAGAAATGACACTCATATTAGATATATAAAGTATAAACAGAAATGTCGATAGCAGTACTGGTATGACGTCACCACGATTCGGAGCCGATTTAGCTATTCACCCTTCAAGGAAGCTTGAAATCTATTGACATTTTAATTTCATTAATCATATGACTATTCAAACCATTGATCATTAAGATGTTAACAGTTTGAATGTTTATTTCGGATGCTAACTGCTTATTCTTCGAAAAAAAGATCGTATTCGGATCGTATGTTTCGGAGAATGCTAAGATCACAACAAGCAAAGTATTCAATTCAAAAGCCCCTCATAATTATGTACATAAGCAACTACAACACTATATATATCATAATTTCATGAAGGCTATTGTCAAGTGTCAATGTCTGTACTTTTCTTCTACTAAGTAGAACTAAACATGGTTAAAATCGTATTGCTTCCCTATGAAAGTACCGAATATTTTTATCTATTTCCTGCACAGGGGTTTTGATGCCAAGAGTGATTTGGCAAACACAATGTTTTCCTTTCATTCTTGGCCACGTCATCCTATTGTCATACAATTTATATTTGGATCAGTAATAACGGTCACTGGCGTACTGATGGGGGGGGGGGGGGCTCGGGGGAGGGGGGCGCCAAGTACTACTAATGAAGTACCGGACCACCGTCTTTGTGCATTATTTTGCAGCATCAAAGCATATTACACCGTCTCAAGACGTGAAAGATCACTTTTCTCCAACTTCTAACCAATCAGAAGGCCTCGTTTTTTTTCAGGTGTTGCCGGTGGACATTAATTAGCCAAACGTGGTTCTCAAAATGCAAAAGATCCCTACTCTTGGAAGGTGTAGGAGAAAGAAATTTTACGTCATATTACTGCAGGAAGTGCCTGAAAATGCGTCTAATTTGGCTCTAAAATTGCAATTGCTTCTTACTCTAAGAGGGGGTCAGAACCCCCTCCCAGACCCACCCCCGCTTGGTCGCTCCGCTCCCTCGCCGCTAAAGCCTCGTTCTGTCGCTTCATCGTTTTACATATATTTAACCCCATGCCATTTGTGCCCCCCGGAAAGAAATTCCTGGATCCGCCACTGATGCCTATACCCCTTGAGCTTCGGGGGCTTTGACCCTTGACCCCACTTTGCGAGACGTTCAGCGGGGTCTGCTTGTTAGAGTGGGGTGCTGCAGATTTTTTTTTGTCAGCCCCCCAAACGTTTTTGCTCATTACGCCACTGATAACGATATACTCAAAAAGGCAAAGTTAAATTTTTAGGGATATCCGGGTTCACCGGTAGTTTGTGAACCCACAAAGTTCCGGCCTCGGAAAAGTTGTGTTAAGGCCATGGAGACCGTTAGGTCAGGCTAATGGGCTGTTAGTCCGTGTAACCTCGGAAATCTTTTCAGAAGGCTTATGATGGCGATATTGTCGATCCCGTGGGCTGCAACTGAAGTTTTGCCATTACCAAAGGGAAATGCTTTTTTGGAACTGTGTACCCACTTTCTTTCATTGTGTTGGTGTATACCCTATAAAAAAGAACAGGCAATAATACTAATTGATTACATCAGGCGCGGATCCAGGATTTCTAAGGGGGGGGGGGGCCCAAATTTGAAATTATGCGAGCCAAATATTGGTACGTAATGGCGACCAACAGTGGCGTAATGCGGGGGGGGGGGGGTCGGTGCAAGGAGGGCGAGTTTCCCCCTACCAGGCTTTGAAGTTTCATTATATTATTAGAGAAAGAAGACGATTCGTTGTACCGTTCTCGAAAATAATTCTCGTCTGAATTTAGTTTTTCCCCTCCCGCGCGAAGCGCGGAAAATTTTACGATTTATTAAATTATTATAGATAGAAGACGATCGTTGTAGAGTTCTCGACTCTTAATCCTTGTCTAAATTCAGTCCCCCCCTCCCCCTCCTGCGCGAAGCGCGGAAGCTTTGACGTTTAATTAAACTTTTAAAGAAAGAAGACGATTCGTTGTACCGTTCTCGACCCTTTATCCTCGTCTGATTTCAGTTTCCCCCCTCCCGCGCGAAGGGCGGAAGCTTTTACGTTTCATTAAATCATTAGAGAAAGAAAACAATTCGTTGTACAGTTCTCGACTCTTAATCCTCGTCTAAATTCAGCCCCTCCTCCCCCTCCTGCGCGAAGCGCGGAAGCTTCTACGTTGCATTAAATCATTAGAGAAAGAAGACGATTTGTTGTACCGTTCTCGACCCTTTATCCTCGTCTGATTTCAGTTCCCCCCCTCCCGCGCGAAGGGCGGAAGCTTTTACGTTTCATTAAATCATTAGAGAAAGAAAACAATTCGTTGTACAGTTCTCGACTCTTAATCCTCGTCTAAATTCAGTCCACCCCCCTCCCCTCCTGCGCGAAGCGCGGAAGCTTCTACGTTGCATTAAACTATTAAAGAAAGAAGACGATTCGTTGTACCGTTCTCGACCCTTTATCCTCGTCTGATTTCAGTTTCCCCCCTCCCGCGCGAAGGGCGGAAGCTTTTACGTTTCATTAAATCATTAGAGAAAGAAAACAATTCGTTGTACAGTTCTCGACTCTTAATCCTCGTCTAAATTCTTCCCCCCTCCCCCTCATGCGCGAAGCGTGGAAGCTTCTACTTTGCATTAAATCATTAGAGAAAGAAGACGATTTGTTGTACCGTTCTCGACCCTTTATCCTCGTCTGATTTCAGTTCCCCCCCTCCCGCGCGAAGGGCGGAAGCTTTTACGTTTCATTAAATCATTAGAGAAAGAAAACAATTCGTTGTACAGTTCTCGACTCTTAATCCTCGTCTAAATTTAGTCCCCCCCCTCCCCCTCCTGCGCGAAGCGCGGAAGCTTCTACGTTGCATTAAACTATTAAAGAAAGAAGACGATTCGTTGTACCGTTCTCGACCCTTTATCCTCGTCTGATTTCAGTTCCCCCCCCCCTTCCGCGCGAAGCGCGGAAGCTTTTACTTTTCATTAAATCATTAGAGAAAGAAAACGATTCGTTGTACAGTTTTCGACTCTTAATCCTTGTCTAAAATCAGTGCCCTCCCCTCCCCCTCCTGCGCGAAGCGCGGAAGCTTCTACGTTGCATTAAATCACTAGAGAAAGAAGACGATTTGTTGTACCGTTCTCGACTCTTAATCCTCGTCTGAATTCAGTCCCCCCCCCCTCCCGCGCGAAGTGCGGAAGCTCTTACGTTTCATTAAATCATTAGAGGAAGAAAACGATTCGTTGTACAGTTCTCGACTCTTAATCCTTGTCTAAAATTAGTCCCCATCCCCTTCCCCCTCCTGCGCGAAGCGTGGAAGCTTCTACGTTTCATTAAATCATTAGAGAAAGAAGACGATTCGTTGTACATTTCTTGACTCTTAATCCTCGTCTGAATTCAGGTTTTCCCCTCCCGCGCAAAGTGCCGAATCTTTCAATCTTCATTTAATCGTTAGAGAAGAAGACGATTCATTGTACCGTTCTCGAAAATAAAGCTCATCGGAATTTAGTTCCCCCTCCATCCCGCGCGAAGCGCAGAAGCTATTACGTTTCATACAATCATTAAAGATTCGTATTACCGTTCTCGCCTCTGAATCCTCGTCTGAATTCAGTCCCCCCCCTCCCCCTCCTGCGCGAAGCGCGGAAGCTTTGACGTTTAATTAAACTTTTAAAGAAAGAAGACGATTCGTTGTACCGTTCTCGACCCTTTATCCTCGTCTGATTTCAGTTTCCCCCCTCCCGCGCGAAGGGCGGAAGCTTTTACGTTGCATTAAACTATTAAAGAAAGAAAACGATTCGTTGTACTGTTCTCGACCCTTTATCCTCGTCTGATTTCAGTTCCCCCCCCTTCCGCGCAAAGCGCGGAAGCTTTTACGTTTCATTAAATCATTAGAGAAAGAAAACGATTCGTTGTGCAGTTTTCGACTCTTAATCCTTGTCTAAAATTAGTCCCCATCCCCTTCCCCCTCCTGCGCGAAGCGTGGAAACTTCTACGTTTCATTAAATCATTAGAGAAAGAAGACGATTCGTTGTACAGTTCTTGACTCTTAATCCTCGTCTGAATTCAGGTTTTCCCCTCCCGCGCAAAGTGCCGAATCTTTTAATCTTCATTTAATCGTTAGAGAAGAAGACGATTCATTGTACCGTACTTGAAAATAAAGCTCATCGGAATTTAGTTCCCCCTCCATCCCGCGCGAAGCGCAGAAGCTATTACGTTTCATTAAATCATTAAAGATTCGTATTACCGTTCTCGCCTCTGAATCCTCGTCTGAATTCAGTCCCCCCCCCCACCCCTCCTGCGCGAGGCTTTGACGTTTTGTTATTAGAGAAAGAAAACGATGCATTGTACCGTTCTCTATACTCTTAATCCTTGTCTGAATTTCAAAGATGTTCTTTGTCTGCTCCTTTTTCTTCCTACGTCCTCTTCCGATTGGAGGGAGACCCCCCCCCCCCCCGCCCCCTGGCTACGCGCCTGCGGTCAGATAAACACATCTTGATACCTTGTCCGACCCCGCAAGCTCAGGGGTTTAAGGCAATAAATTACGATCAGATAAGCATTCAGGGGTCGAGGCGGCGGAGCCGGCCCCGGAAGCTCAGGGGTTTTAGGCGTT